CCTTACCAAAACCTCTTAGAAGATGATGAATCTATTGATAAGAATTAACTCTCTGACCACTTAACGAAGGAAAATAGTATAGCCACTCCCACAATAATGAATTCCAAAATGACCGGGCCTAAAAATACACGTAAACCGACAAATAGCTTATTCCTAAAATTTCGCTTGAAGATGAAACGGGACTAAACACCACAATCCAACTTAATTTTAATAATTATTTGGATATTTCGGCTCTCGTTTTTGAAACATGAGAACTCTTATGTAGTGAAGGAATCATATTTTTTAAACAAAAATATTATTATAATATATATATATATATATATATATATATATATATATATATATATATATATATATATATATATATATGATATATATATATATATATATATATATATATATCTAACTATCATCTGGCTGTTCATATTTATCTATCATTATGTTCATGCTTATCTATCTCAGGCTATTTATATCTATCTCTGTATCTATCTCAGTTTATATCTGTCCATCTATCTATTCATATTTAAGTATACATTTAAATGTTATGAAATAAAACCATAAATTTTAAATTAAACAAAGAATGTTGAATATAATTATATGAAAAAGGATTAATATTCATTTATTTGATTAAAGGAAAATTTTAAAAAGTCAAAATAAAAAAAATAAAAATTTCTTTTAAAAAACAAATATTAAATCAAAGTATTTAAGATAACATAATCGAAGAATAGGGAAAAGAATTATTTGAAAAAAAACTTTAATACTTGTTCATTTATTCAGCTACTAATGTTGTGCCATTACCACTTCCACACACACACACACATATATATATGTTTATATACATATGTATGCTGTGACAATATTTCATGGCACACTAGTGCATCATGGCATGGTGGTTGAGAATCTCTGTCATAACCAAAGTCTTTTAGTAACTTGTAAGACTTGCCATTCCATGCACATTATAGAAAACTATCCTCATTCCTATTTACATTATTTGGACTATTGTCCTCATCTTTGTTGCTATATTTATTACAATGTTTCTGCCATTGTATGCTCCGGCCTTCTTCAGGTGGTCGGAATGTCGAACTGAACCCTTTATTTCGCTCACTGGGGTAGACTGTTCTAGTTCCACATGCCATGTTTTAATGGATGTCAGTTATCAGTTATCTCCTATTAATTCCCCTCTCCAGGATATAATGGATAACCAACATCCATTAGACATGGCACGGGGAACTAAAACAGTCTACCCCAGTGAGCGAAATAAAGGGTTCAGTTTGATATTCCAACCACCTGAAGAAGGCTGGAGCATACAACGGCTGAAACGTTGTAATAAATATGGCGACAAAGCTCCACTCAAACAGCTTCTTACCACAAGCCCCTACTTTGTGAAACCAACTCCCAAGAAGATGTTTTTCTGACCACTACAATTTTTTATCTATTCAAGTCTAGCATTAACCATTATCTTCCCCACATATCCTCATAAACTGTGTCTCTTACTCTGTAACCCTCTACTTCGAGTGGCTCTTGGTCCTTATATAGGTGAACATTATTGTGGAAAATAAAAATCCCACTTCCAATTATTTTGGATTGATTCAACAAAGGAACAGCTGTTTTATGTTATACAGTGTGGGTAATCTTCATGTAACTTTCCATCAAGATATATACTGACAGACAGACAGTAAGTTAATTCGCTTAATTGAACACCGATAACATCACTCAACTGTTGGCATCTTAAGAACCCTGATTTTCAGCCAAGTAGAAGTGGCAGGAGACATAATCACAGTTTCATTAAGAGTAGTCTTCATCCAACTATCATCCGATGGTAGGTATTGACAGACAGACAGTATCTTGACTCACCAAATTGGGCATGTTACTCAACTCAATCATTTATGTGCCCTGGCCTTCAGCTAAACAAAAACAACAGGAGATGATATCATATTTTCATTACGAGTAATCTTCATATAACTCTCCAACAATAGATATTAAAAGACAGACAAAAACCGGACATATGAACCAACTCAGGACATTTTGACGTAGTATAATGCTTAGCCAGCTTGTCTCACTAAGTCAGTTATGACTGAGTAATGAGTTCAATCCTCACTGGGAGCCCCATATTTCTGGCCTTGTGCCACATCTAAGCTATTCTTATATATGAACCAATTTTGATAAGTATTAGTTTGAGTCATAAATAATTTCTGTTTTTGTTTGACAACTTTATTCTTCAGAAAAAAGTCTAATTACATTTTATTCCGTGATGTATTCACAGTTATTTTCAATGACTTGCTGCCAATTCTTCAATACCTTTTGAGTAAAGTTCCGCAGATTCTGATGTAAAAAGCTTTTGGCAAATTTTTTTTTTTTTCATTAGAGAATGTCTTCCCCATCAAATTATTTTGCAGCTATCACAAAATGTAATAATCTGTTGGTGCAAGGTCAAATGCATATGGTGAGTTGGCTAGAAGAAACTGAGTTGTTGTGGCCTTAATTTTGTCATGGAGAACATTTCTCATATTCATGAGCATAGAGCACTTTTTGACCAAATGTTTAAGGCTACGTTGCAGCTGCTAGATGTATAAATGTGCATCTAGTGTTTCATTGTGTTTTAAGAACACTAATTAAATAATATCCATAGAGTTCAGTTTTTGGAGATATTTGAGGAAATGTCCTTGTCAGTCCATTGCATTTTGTGTTGAATATTGTCATAAGCAACCTATTTTTCATCAGCTCTTATGATATATTTAAGGAATGGTTAGTTAGGGTGATGCATTTATTGTTACAATTGGGTCCCAAAATTGGAAATGTCTTATCTCTCAACCTAATAGATAAAAATAGATTGAGATAAAGAGAGAAAGAGCAAAAGAGAAAGCAAGATGGAAGGTTATCAGTGTAGAACCAACTAAAAAAGGGAAAAGGTTACTACTGAAGAATTCAGCCGTGGCGATCAAAGAGAGATGGAAAATGGCATATTAATAAAAGGAGAAAATAATTCTCCAAAGACAAAAATGGAAGAAGAATTTGCAGAAAGAGAGCAGATGTTAATTTGAGTAATCCTTGCACACGCACATCATCCAGGCTTCAAATGTGGCTTAACATCTGGTGACCTTTTGACTGACTTACTTTCATTAAGGTTCCGTTTCTGTTCGATATATCATCCTGGGTATGATGATAAACTACATCCAGCAGCAAAGCCCCTGATCAGGAGGTTTTGAGGATCATGGAACCACCTCTTAATTGCTATTGTTCCCAGGTTCACCCTGACTCAGGGTGGTAGCACCAGTTAGGGTCCCAGCTATGGGAAAATAGTTAATCCCTAGACTGGGTGAAAACATTATGTAAGTATAAATATGTTATCGTAAAAATACCAGTCATACATTTTTCATAGTAAAAAATTAACACCAATACATTTTTGGAAAAAAAATTCCCAGCAATACATTTTTGTGAAAGAAATTACTAATGCTCCCAAGAAAATTAAATTTTGGCATTAAATGACCCATAAAGGAGTTGATATACCGCTAAACAAATAAACAATTCCATATAATTATTCAGTACCTTTATGAGTATCAAATATTGAATGAATACTACATGAAGCCTCTTTCCCACAGACAACTTTGCAAATCTGTTGCTATTTCCATGGCAAATGTTCAGATGAGCTCTGTTTTTGAGTCCCACAAGTTCAGACCTTTACAGCTCAGACACACCAAGCTACATTCTTCCTCTGTATTCCAACTGTAAAGAATAACTCCCACATAGATGCTTCCCTGATCACTACAATCTTAACCTCAAGGGTCAGTCGTTATCCTCATAATCTTCACTTTTCCCTTGCTCCTTTTACATTTATATCACACACATTCATTTTGTAACCCTCTACCTTGAGTGGCACTCGAGACTCATGTCAAATGAACTTAATATATTTGGTGAGAAGGCATGAATTACCTATCTGTATAGAAAGAAAAGGAGGGGTATGTGATAAGGCATGTTCAGACTTTGATGTTCTTTTGTACTAGTGTGCTTAGAATGTTTTGTGATAAGACTAATAACTGTCTTCTCATCATGACAACTAGTGAATGTGAGGCTAATTAATATTGGCGCAAATGCAGATAAAACAGCAGACTTTTAAGTGCAAGTGAAACTGGATTTTTATAAACAGAGATTAATCGACCTGAGAAATAATTTGAAAGCCATGTACCTGAAAAGTGATGTTGTAGTGGTAACATAAAAATATTCATTTCTGAAAAGGCTAAGTTTGCTGGGAGTTTTAATATGTAATAGGTTAATTGTTCCAACTTCTTTTTGCTAGACTATGAAAAGCACTTCCAATCTTACAGATACTACACATTGATCCGCTATTTATGCACCTCTCTACTGTAGTAAAATGTGACACAATAGTTTCAAAGTGGGGTGCCAATGTGGGTACATATAGGCTAAGGTTAAAAGTTGCCCAGCTCCTGCAAACAACATTATGCTGGTGTCAGTATGCACCAACCCCCTCTTTTTAGTGCAACGAGGGTTAGAATCTCTCAGACCAGGCTTCTTATAATTTTCAGAGGAAGAGAGAACAGATACTACATTTTCATGCCCCACCCAAAGAGTCTTGTCTGCATTTTCCTCTTCATCTTGCATTGCTAACCTCAGTCTTGTAAATATCCACATGCAACGGGAATTAAATCTGAGAATGATATCTCATTTTTCTTTGTTTCCAAATCTGTGTCTTTGAAATCTCTCAATCTGATTAAGAATTAATAAGACATAAATGTTTGCATGTTGACCTCCTTCAGTAAATAAAGCAAACAAAAAATGCATATGTGTGTATCAGAATAAAATGTGACCGATGAAAAAACCAGTGAGATGTAGGGAGGGAAGTAGATGGGAAAATGAGGGACCTCGTTTTGGTGGGACACAAATATGCATTAAAAAGAAGGGGGAAAAAATGTTCACTTCAGAGCGGCTTTGTTTTTTCTCTTGAAACCTTTTAAAGAACAAAGATTTTTGAAGTTTTTAAGTTTATGTTAGAAAGGGGACACTTCAAAGCACATATTCCTTTTCTTTTCTTTTTCTCTTTTTCCTTCTTTTTCTCTGTTCTTTTCCTTCTCCCTCTTTTTTTTTCTTTCCCTTTTTTCCTTTTCTTTTTCCCTTCGTCTCATTTTTCTTTTCTTTCTCTCTTTTTCCTTTTCCTTCTTTCTATCTGTTCTTTTGCTTCTGCCTCTTTTTTGTTTTCTCTCTCTTCTTCTCATTTTTCTTTTCTTTCCCTCTCTATTTTTACTTTTTGTTTCAGATGCTTTGTATAATCCAAAGTCCATGAATCTCTTTCAATTTCAAATCAATTGTGCCTTAACGTAGGCTTGTATTTAGCAGACATGGAAAAAAAGAGAGAAGCTTTCTTGAATGTCGACCATTTCCCTGGACTCTTCTTTGATCCCCTTGTCCATCCTTTGAAGAAAAATACAGTAATTCACCCCTAACTGTGAGGATATGTCAAAAGAACACCCCCCACAGCAGCTGCTTGAAACTGCAGATAACACTGCACTCTATGACTGTTTGCCTCTCTCTCTCTTCATATATATATATATATATATATATATATATATATATTTTGAACAATAAAAAATATTAGAAAATTAAAATCTTCAGACACACTGAGTTGTAGATTAATATTCTTTCGTTTTTTTTTTATTATTATTTCATTTAGATTCCTCAACTAGTTTCAGCCAAAATGGCCTTCATTGGGAGGAGAAATATTTCTGCTTGCTGGTAGCAGTAAACTACAGAAATGAATATATATATATATATATATATATATATATATATATATATATATATATATGTGAAAATATATAGAAAATAGGAAGGAACTGGTTAGGTAAATAATCCTAAGTCCCTTAGTATTTTAGTTATTATTTTTAAAATATAGTGCTCGATACAAAAGTAGAGCATAAATATAATTATTTATTTAAAAATATGATTCCATGGAATCATATTTTTTTAAATAAATAATTATATATATATATATATATATATATATATATATATAGTGAAAACTATATTTTCTAAGTTTATAAGATGAAGACTATATTTACTAAGCAAAATTGAAAAGCTTAATATACATCATGCACTAAGATTTGTTTTATGTGTATAAACCTGCCCATTTTGAAAGTATGGTTGACCATACACGACATTATCAGAAAATAAGAGCAATGACTATAGTAAGTTTGAAGTCAACATTCCTAAATTTAGATTATGGAGAATATTTTCAACATTTTTAAGATTACTGAGTACTTAAAAATTATGTAAAAAAATCGTTCATTTTCTTAAATTATGTTATAACAAATAAAGTCTCAGTAAAACAACAATAAAACAATCAACACCTTCAGCAGCATTTGTTAAGTGATTTATGAGCACTGACAAGTAAGTAATTTCTGTTACTCCTTGTTTTAAAAAGCCATTTCTGTGTTATTTTCAACTTAAAGTAAAGAATATTTCTTTCAAATCAAATTAATTATACTTTAAATCAGCTTATATTCCTCAAATAAAGTTTCATAAAAGTATATTTTATTTTTGGATGACTTTTTAATAAAGAAAATTACATTGCAATGACAGATGACTAAAAATAGACACTAATCAGTTATTTTTAGTTCTCAAAAAAAGTTAATTGATTCCAATCAATATAATTTTTGTTTGAAATACACTACAGAGTATTTTGCTTACTGGAAATAATATATTTAATTCTTAAGCTTTCAATTAAAGCTAAAATGAAAGAATGAAGAAAGACTTTTAAATTTTAGAATTCGTTTTAAACAGGTATTGTGAATAATTGTGAATTAGTGGAGGTACCTACCCTAAAGGGTAATGAAATCATATTCTTGTGCATACACAGTCAGATCTCAAAAAAAAAAAAAACAGAGGAAAATATTTATGAAATTAAAGGTAGTATCTGAGTGCATCTCATGTTTTGGTGGAATTAAGTATTCAACTTGTTCAGATAGTATCTCCCCAGAAGAAAACTGGACATCATTTTGTACCGTACCACATCCAATGGGTGAAATATCAAAAACAAAAAAGAAGAGAGAAAGAGACAGTGTGTTCTTTCTTTTATCCCACTGATTGGCACACTACTTACTGCTTTTAAGCAAAGTCCATTGGCAGACAAGGTGAGTTAATTCCACAATATCAGTAAGCCTCTTGCCACAGAATAGTTCTCAAGCAATAGTGCCAACTATTACTAGTGTAAAAGTTTGTATCCTTAGCCAGCGCCTCTTAATTATAGTCTTGCATCAGGTTAAGTTTAGTTCATCTCCAGAGCATTTTTGTTCTTATGCAATAAAATTAAGACCGAAGCACCTACCATGGAACAATAGTTAGCAAGCTATTCTTACTTGAGTTCAATCTTCATAAGGTACCTGTCTTATACCAGATTAAACTAATTGGAGTTAATATGATAAATCAAGGTTAGAACATTAAAGAAATATCAGATGAAAAAGGAAGATGAGGAAAAGAAGGTTAAAAAAAGAGGTCAACAGAAAGGAAAAAAGGAATGAAACGTGATAACAAACAAAAGAAAGATAAAAAAAAAAGAATGAAAACGTGGAAGGCAGGAAATTAGAGAAAGACAAATTGATAGTTTAAAAGAAGTGAAGGGTTGTTGAAATTTGGACAACACAATAACGGCTGTCCCTTGAATCTCGTCCAAAACAGATGATGGTCATAATTAGGCGGTCAGTCACTGAGGTTAACTTTGAAATTTCAATCATTGGCATTAATCAACAGGAAGCCCTTTCTGAGATAAATGGACCATCAAAGTTCCCTAAGATTCGTATCTATGTCAGTGTATGAAGCAGACATTATGAAACAAAGTGTTTCAATATGAAGTGGCTGAATGTGAAGTTTATATATGCATATGTTTAAATATGTGTGTGTGTGTGTGATGTACATACATACATATCTATATATCTATTCATATATATATATATATATATATATAGAGAGAGAGAGAGGGAGAGAGATAGAGATTTGTATTTATGTATGTATTACATGCACATATACAGAGTGCCCCCAAAAACGTAATTACTTTTTAAATGACAATAAATGCAGTGTTTATTGACTTACAAACAAGATTAACGGTTTAAATTAAATCCATGCTTATAAATATTCAGACTGATGACAGTCAGACAATGAGTACATTTTTGGTACATTATATATATATATATATATATATATATATATATAAAATCAAATGATACCTAAGGTTTAAACTGTTTAAAACTATATCTTTCTTGAAGCTTTTAATTTAGTTTTAATTCCAAGCTTTTTTTTTAAAATCATTTCATACTGAGCAAGGCAACAAAGTCACTAACATGCATGGAAGTTTCTAAGTGTGAGAGAATATGAGAAAAAAACCCTATTAAGGAGAGAAAACTATAAAAGAAGAGGAATTAAGAAGACAGAAGATAATGATTGACATTTCATTTTAATTTTTGAAGATCAAAGTCAACTGGGGAGCAAGAAACTGAAGCTAGCAGATATAAATTTGTAGATGTCCCATTGACAGATCTGTGTCCCTTAAGTAGATAATTCAAACATTTCTTGCTCAAGATGGTCTCTCCAATGGGCAAAATAGTAATGGCACATTGCAGCTATAGAAGTGATTTGTCTGATGTAAAAGGGATGCGGTATCAATCCTGTTGGGTGGTGCAATTTTTCTTTAGTTGAACTCCTCCATCTTGGCTGAACATTGTTTTCACACTTAAAAGAAAAAGGGAAAAAACATAACAGGATAACTAATTAAACACATGTCCCCCCCTCTATAAAAATAATGTTTATAAAAATAAGAAATAATGTTGCATAACAAAATCCATTTAATATATATATATATATATATATATAAATATAAAACATTAGGCAGCATATAATTTATATACAAAGAAATAATCATGCATAGAATCAATCAGCAATATTAATGCTATTATTGCCGACATCCATCGCTAGTAGTGTATAATTTATGCATTAAAATACTGTTAATCCATAGAGTGATGTGATCCTCATTTATAAAACTGTTGTCTGTTGTTTCCAGTTTATATTTTTTTATAATGCAAGTTCTTTCAAATAATCCTTTATTCATCGTCAGGCATATCTTTTCCTTATAAAATCAAAAACTTGTAGACGAAATAATTGTTTGTCGACCGAAAGATGTTTTTTTTGAGAATGTGCTATTATTGACAGTTGTGTACAATATCGGAACGTGCAAAGACGCAATGCTAAGTTTTTTAAAATTTTAAGTGAGAATTTTATTTGAATTTTTCTTGTGATGTGGTAAATACACGTATTCTATTTTTACAAGTGTTTTCAGTTAATATGTTATGAACTAAGTATATAGTTCAATTAATATAGTGTTATATCTTAGTAGTAGGTTTGTTTTTATTTATAGGAATTTTTATTTTATTTTTTTTTTTTTTTTCTATTTATAGGAATTTTTTTGTACTTCAGGGCATTGGCAATCATGACCCTCCACGGTTTTCTTTTCTTTATTATCTGGGAATTGTCATCACTTATTGGGAAGGATAGTGGAGTGTCTCCCCACTGTCTTTTTTAGTGTGTCCCTTCAGGGCATTGGCAATCATGACCCTCCACGGTTTTCTTTTCTTTATTATCTGGGAATTGCCATAACTTTTTGGGAAGGACAGTGGAGTGGTTCCTTACTGTCTTCTCCAGTGTGTCCCTTCAGGACATTGGCAGTCATGACCCTCCACAGATTCCTTTTCTTTATTATCTGGGAATTGCCATGAAATTTTGGGAGACATTGTGAAGTGCTTTCCCATTGCCTTCTCCATAGTTTTGAATTCAGTGCTTTCTTTCTTTTAGACTGGTTGCCAGCCAATGGTAGAGATCTCTATCTAGTCTGTTATTTAATCAATAGCTTGGAGGAGAAAGAATGGATTCATGTCTTTTTCAAGGGCATTTGCATGAAACACCACAGACTTGGAATTCCATTTTCTGCTATCCACATATCCCCCATAAAATCCATACAGAGTTTCAAAATTATATTGAGCCTGAGGTATTCTCACCCCCTCCCTCATAGAAATGCTGTGTTATGATAAATGACAAAGTGTCTAGAAATGATTGATTGATTTTTATTCATGTCCCAGTCATAAGAACGACTTACCCAAATAGAAAGACTTGACGGTCTTCTTTTGGTCTTTCTTGAAAACTAAAGAAAAAAGAAAATCCAGGATTTTGCTTCATACAAATAAACCATCATTGGTACTACTAAAATGAACTCGCTTTTGTGTATTCAAAAAAACAAAAATGCTCACAAACATCAAAAAGCAAAACTAGTTATTCAATGTATGAATCTGATCCATTTTCTTAGTTGTCAGAAGCAATGAAAAGTATTCTTTAATATATACCATACATTTACACTATTTACATTGTTCAGACTATTGTCCTCATCTTTGTTGCCATATTTATCACAACATTTCGGCCGTTGTACACTCCGGCCTTCTTCAGGTGGTTGGAATATTGAACTGAACCCTTTATTTCGCTCACTGGGGTAGAGTGTTCTAGTCCCACATGCCATGTTTAATAGATGTCAGTTATCAGTTATCTCTTGTTAATTCACTTCTCCAAGTTCTCCACTGCCTTATCCAGGTATTGAACTAACACTGTCACTCAATCTAACCAACACCTTCAGGACACATAGCACAGTGGATGTCTCTTTTGTCTTTAATATGCTGTGTGTGTGTCAAATTATCCAAACCTTCTTTCCTCATTTTGTATCTTGGAAATTTCAGCTTTTTTTTTCAGTTTTTTTTTTTTCTAAGAAACAAAATGAGTTAATTGAATTCCTATTCTGTTGAATAAATAGATACTTTTTTAGGGAAAATAAACTCAAACAACAACTGCAAAATGCAGACAGTAATGAACAAAAAGATGACAGTGTGACATGTTCCGAATGCTTGTGAAGCTTAACAGAAAATTTCTAAAGACAACCTTAAACACAGATCAATAAGGAAATAGTTTTTCTCTGTGCTAGTTTGACACATAATTACTTATCTACATTAATTATCTGTAAACTAAATTAATTTATACTTCTTCCTGTGAGGTCTTTGTGTAATTATTGTCAAGTAAACTTAAACCTGAAGCAAACAGGTGGGTCAGAGTTAGAAATCACATCAAAGATTCTTGTCCAAAGGAAGGGTCAAGTCCCTAAATCAAGGTAGGATAGAGGTGCCCCCTGACTGTTTGTATAGGGATGGAAGAAACAACAATATGCTTAACAGTTCTATCAATGAGAAAGAGATCAGGACCCTTGTAAAGGGAGCCATTAATTATTGAAGCATGTTTTTCTTTTATCTTTTTTTGAAGATGGCAAGAAAGAGGGTGATTGTGGTTTCATATATGTTCAACAAAGCTTATTTAGAATCTGTATATAGTAAATGAATACAAAAACATGTTTAAAGAGAGACAGTGATATATGTATGCATGTATGTATGTGTGTGTGCGTTATTATTATAACCATTATTTATAGTGGGACACCTGTTTGAGTTGCTGACACTGTTTTTTATTTTATTAAACCGATTTTTTCTGTTAATTCACCCCAAATAATGTACAGTTAATTATTGCAAATATTAATTTACCCAAAGAAATTATAAATTTTAAATCAATGTTTGTTTGCACTTTCATTAAATTTTTGCCAACTTTTGAAATTGGAAATTTTAAATCGAAATTTGTTTAGTTTGCCTCACAACTCCAACCCTCAGAATGAAAAATTACCAAAAATCAGGGATTTATTCACATTTCGTAAGTGTGAATGATATTCAAGGTACTTACAAGGAGTTTTTTAGAGTTAAAAAAAAAAATCTGTTTTTGGCTTGTTTATCAGGGTTAGTGTGGGTGGAGTCCCCAAACTTAGAAATAATGCACCTGAGTCGAACACATTAGGGGGTGACTGCAAAGGTCAACCCAACTGGTGTGCAATGGAAGGGTCTCACTCTGAGAGAATTTGGTGTGTATTTTAGTATATATATATTATTTTTATTATGGGGTGAATTAACAGAAAAGATCCAGTAAAATTAATAGCAACTGGCATAAATTGAGAAGTTCTACTGAAGAAAAAATTTACCTACAACAGGAATTGAACCTGAATCCACTTTTTCTGCTCAGTGAAACCACTTTTTAGCCATAGTATGTCTTTACCAGACTGGCCACAGTGCCTGTCTGACATGAATAAACCTATTAATGAAAGTCCTTTTTTTTCTTATTCAAAGTTCTACTAATCTATATCTGCTCACTTCAGTTTCATACCTGAAAATATAAATTTCAGTATGAAAACAAACAAGGTCACACGAGGAACAGTGTTCGATTTAAATATATAAAAAAAAATATGCAAACAGAGCTAATATAATAATTATAAGAAAAACAATACAGTGATATTACTATGTTTCCATGATTTTGTACTGCTGGAAGATTGTGAGGCATATGCATAACTATCTAGGTGTTGTGGAATGGCAGTAATATCTGAGTATTGTTTTACTTATGTGTATATATATATATATATAGTAAGGTAAACAATCTGTTGGTATATAATTCAAGTGTATCCTAATAATATAAAAATATTAGAACTGATCCATAAAAAATAGCTTGATTCATTTTTTTATTTGTACAGGGCAATATAATTAATAATCAAACCAATCCTTTTACCTCATATGGTAAAAGGATTTTCATTTTGTCTGTCTTTTCAACCCCATTGTGGATTCCATGCCGGGGCTGAAAAGACGACCACTTTAAATAGTCTGCCAAAATAGCCTATTGCCTATATGAGGTAAAAAGGATTTGTTTTCAATTATATATATATATATATATATATATATATATATATATATATATATATATATATATATATATATATGTGTGTGTGTATATATATATTTTATATTTATTTAATGCTCTATCCTTACCTTTTGATACAGTTTATGACAAAATCTGCTTGCCTAAAATGCCTTCCCACCAGTGAACTATGGAAAAGGAACCAGCAATTTTGTCATTTAAAACCCTTACAATTTAATTCTATCTATCTATCTATCTATCTATCTATCTATCTATCTATCTATCTATCTATCTATGTGTGCGTGTGTTTGTTTATTATATATATATATATATGTGTGTGTGTGTTTATTTATTATATATATATATATATATATATATATATATATACATACACACAAGTATAGAATTGGTATAGAAGGAATAAAATTCCAGTAACCAAAAACACATTCCTTAAAAGAGTGCTTCATACAGAGTAGAGCAAATAGTATTTTTTCAAAAATTATATCACAAACATGTTATAACATCACTACAAAAAATAGCTATTTTGTTTCAACATTTCTGGTGTCTTGTGAAGTGATGGTGTTGGTGTAGAATAAAGAGTTTTAAAAAGTTCAAAACCAACCAAACTCCCCTCAATAGGAGAAACATTGTTACGTAAGTTACAATGAACAATCATAATACAAGTATATGATAATTCAAAAAACCTGACAACGAACCTTAGACACAATTTATGTTATGTTAATGTTAAAGTTAGACTAAATTAGAAATCATTCTGATTCATTTTTAATTTTACTATGAAGTTAAAAAATAAAAATTACAAATTTTGAATTTAACCCAGTATTAAGTTTATTATAAAATTATTTGAAGAAGAAACAGAGAAAAATATACATGTTTTTTATTTTTATTTATTGTTTTAATCAAAAAGCCAATTTTTCAGTTAAAGCAAATGCTAATCTAAGGAGATTCTAACACCGTAACAACTTAGATACAATTATCAAGCATTCAAATATCTGGGAAGCAAAGGATAGAAAATGTGACATCAAAATTCAAACATGCATTGGACAAGTGAAAGAAGAATTTTAAATGCTCAACAAGATGCTGAGATATGAGAAAAAAATTTGATTAGAAACAAAGAAAAGAGTGCTGGATTGCTATGTGATATCAATCCTCTTATATGGCAGTGAATGTTGGACAATTTGCCCACAGATGAGGAAAAAAACTGGAAGCATCAAAAATGTAGTTCTGCAAAAGGATATTGCAAATTCTAAGGCTGGAGCAAGTAAGCAATAAGGAAGTCTTAAAGAAAATGGCAACAGAAAGAAAACTTGTACTCAGAATCAGGAAGAGAGAGAACTGAAATTCTTTGGACACATAATGAGGAAGGTGGGATTGAAAAACTGAAGCTGAAACCTCATGGGGCATATTGAAGGCAAGAGAGATAGAGGAAGACAGTGAGCCACTTACCTGATCAGGATATGTGAATGGATGGATAGATAGAGGGGTAAGGGCCTTAGCAGAAGGAGAAAAGAGCTAAGTGCTAAGAGATAGAAAGCTGTAGAGAGCAACGATCACCTATGACCTGAATGTATGTGGCAGAGCAGAAGAAGAAGAGGAATCAATGAATGCATATCAAAGGTTTTATTAAATTCTTTTAATTAGCTTAATAAATAATGTGGAAAAATTAAAATTTCAGATGAGATTTTTCTCAAAATCTTTTTTTTTAATAATTTCATCCCAAGGAAGGCAATAAAGCCACTAAGATTCAAGAGGGTGGCTGAGTATTGCAAAATATGAGAAATAAATTTATTATGGAGAGAGAACAATAAAAGAACAGCTATCAACAATACAGAAGATAATAATTGAAATTACATTTAAATATTTTGAAGATCAAAGTTGGCTGGGAAGCAAGAACCTGGAAGAGAGTTCCACAAGTGAAAAGTGCAATAGAAGAAACTATTAACATAGGACTTATGGTTGCATCTTGCCATTTCAACTGTAAAATGATGTGACCTAGGTGCCAATCTAGTACTGCACTTGAATTCATAAAGTCTATGTGCCATAAAGGAAAGTAATATTTATTTTGTAAAATACAAAAATGTGGCACAAAGACGATAGAAGGGATGGGGGAGAAGGCTGGTCTTCAATCTGTTTTATCTTAAACTTAGCTAGTCACAATTACTGATTCAAACATACCACAGAGTTCCTTACACCAAAACAACACATTCTTACTTACTATTGCTACCAGAGAGCACCACTCAGAGTCTGTAGGAAGTCCTAACTAATCCGAATATGTACAAAGAGGAAAGCTTATCAGAACAATTACCATGAAAGTATTTATAGAAAAAACACAGGGAAGCTATGTTATAGTGGTAGGGAAAAAGACTGAAGCTGAGATGCCAGGTCAAAACAAATAACATTGCCAATTCTTCTTTGGATTTTATCAAAGATCTCTAAATATATAGCAGGACCACCAGATCAGATGTGACAGAAATATTCAAAGCTAGGATGAATAATTCTCATTATTTTCAATGATTTAATTGTATGAGAAATGATTAATCTCTTATTTGTCATTGAATAATTTTTGTCAAGTAGTGACCAAATTTTGAAAATTCCAATGATCCTTTTGAAATACGTGTTTCATCTAACAGTGATTACTGTTCTGTTTATACTATTATATGAATGCTAATAAACTCATTTCATTTAATTACTTACTATAAACAATCTTTTCCTTTTGATTAAGAAAACAGTTGTTTCTTATTTTCTCCTCATCTGTGGGGAGATTGTCCAGCATTGACTGCCATACAAGAGGATTGAGATAACATAGCAATCCAGTAATCTTTTCCTTTTTGGTTTTTGTTTCTTAGTACTTTGCTTAGCTTTTTACTGAAGGCAACAAAAATCTGGTTCTACAGAAGGATACTGAGAATTCCATGGACAGAGCAGGTAAACAGCAAGAAAGCCACTATTTATATTGTTCAGACTATCATCCTCATCTTTGTTGCCATATTTATCACAACGTTTCAGCCATTGTATGCTCCTGCCTTCTTTAGGTGGTTGGAATGTCAAAATGAACCCTTTATTTTACTTGCTGGGGTAGACTGTTCTAGTCCCACGTGCCATGTCTAATGGATGTCAGTTATCAGTTATCTCCTGTTAATTCCCCTCTCCAAGTTCTCCACCGCATTAATCAGGTATTGAACTCACACTCTTTAGGTCCTGTCATTGGATCTAACTAGTGCCTTTATCCACTGTACAAGCAAAATAAAGGGTTCAGTTTAACAGTCCAACCACCTGTAGAAGGCCAGAGCAGCATACAATGGCCGAAATAAATTGTGATAAATATGGCAACAAAGATGAGGATGATAGTCTGAACAATGTAAATAGTGTACATAATACCTCATCTCAGAAATATAGACAGATACTGAAGCAAGAAAGTCTTAAAGAAAATGGTAACAAAAACAATATTTATGGTTAGAATCAGAAAGAGACAGCTGAAATTACTTAGACACATAATGAGGAAGGAGAGCTTGGAAAATTTGACACTCACAGGGTATATCAGGGACAAGGCTGCAGGCTGGCTTACTTGCTGAGCTTGTGTGAATGGATGGTAGAATGTGGCAATGGGAGTAGGAGGTATTAGGCTTGGCAAAGAGAGAAACACTGCTAAGGGCTACAAGAGAGAAGTTGTGGAAAGCCATGATCGTCCACATATGTGGTATATAGAAGAAAAAACAGTTGAGATAAAATAGTATTTATTTTTAAATTATTTCAAGAGTGAACTCAAGAATGGGGAGCTTAAAGTCTTATCTAAATAGAATTTGAGAAATTTCAAATTAGATTCTCATTTTAATTTTTAACTGTATTGTAAGTTGAAAGCTATTAGAATGTTCAGAAAGTAATTACATTTTACAAGAAAAGATATAAAAAGAAATGTATGTTAAATTTATTTAAATATTAGGGTGTTTGGAAAGTAATGACATTTTACAAGAATGGATATAAAAAGAAATGTATGTTAAATTTATTTAAATACTAGCCTAGAAGCCACCCTTTGGGCGCACATTATCTTAACTCCTGCAGAGGGCTTTTGGGCATTTAGCCTTTTTCATTCAGTATTCTATATACATAAAAGTTATAAAAATTTCGAAATAATAAAATTATTTTATTTTTATTCAACAACCTTAATTTGGCATAATCTTTCTTCTTATACACAACCTATCTCCATAGTTTGCTTATATTTATTTTCTGCACAATTATTATTTTCTTTTAAAATCAACATTCCTTATGATCCCTTCACATAAAGTCACTCTTAAAAAAAATAGGGAACCCAATCTATGTAATATTTCGAATACATCACAGTTCACATGCTAGAAAAAGGAAAAACATATGAGCAATGTACCCTGCCCCGCTTAAGTTTTAATTACCGTTTAATTAGACAATATCATTGCAATGACAAGTGAAATTAAAGTTAAAAGCCTATAACAAAGAATTGATTTTAAACCTTTCACTCTGTTTGATATTTAAATTTAACTTTAAATAAGTTATTTAATTTTTAATCGCATGTAACTACAGTAGTTACTATCGGTTAATTCAGGTTGTTTATAATTCACAAAGATCAAAAAAACGGACGTATGCATTTACACTACACTTTATTTATATAGGGTAGGATATTTGGAAAGTAATTACATTTTAACAGAAAGGGAATAAAAACAAATATAAGTTAAAGTTATTTGAATATTTTTTATCTAAAATGTAATCACCTTCATTTTCAATGAAAGTAGTCCATTCCAAGAGGAAGGCAAAATTTTGATTACACGTTTTAAAAAAATCTCTTTTTCTCTCTGTTTCTTCGAAAATAGTTAGAAAGACTGTTTTCAAATTCTTTGTTTCTGAATGTTTCACTACTTACAAAATGTACTAGTGATCAAAAGAAATAAAAATATATTGGTACTAAATTTGGTGAGCATGGTGGATATGAAAGAAGCCACCTCCCAATGATCTTATTTTTTCTTCATTTTATTTTGTATCTTTTCATTGTCAAGCTGGAAAATCAGTTTCATATCCAAATGTAAACAAAGCAATTCCTAAAGAAATATTGAATTTTTTATTTGTTAATCTGACAGATTTTTATCACTTTAAGTGTCATTTTTAGTGGAGTCCCATATATTCAGGTTGGAAGACAAATATATACTGTTTAAAATAAACAGAGCAGCTAATCAAATCTGGTTATCTGCTAAAAATAACATTTAAAGTGATAAAAATCTGTTGGATTAATAAATAAAAATTCCATTAGGTCTGATA